GTGTTGGTTGGAAGCCGGAGAGAGTAGTATGTTTGGGCCCGAGATTGTACGGGAGACAACGGAGAAGATTCAGCTCATTCGGGAGAGATTACGCACAGCACAGAGTCGACAAAAGAGCTATGCGGATAGGAGAAGAAGGCCTTTGGAATTCAAGGAGGGAGATTTTGTATTTCTTAAAGTGTCACCCAAGAAGGGCGTACTTAGATTCGGTAAGAAAGGAAAACTCGCTCCAAGGTACATCGGTCCATTTGAAGTGATCAAGACAGTGGGCAAAGTAGCATACCAACTTCAGCTACCAGTATCGTTGTCAGGAGTTCATGACGTGTTCTACGTTTCGATGTTGAGGAAGTGTCAACCAGATACGTCGCATGTCGTGGATTTGGAGGATATTGAAGTGCAAGATGGAGTCACATATGAAGAGCAGCCGGTGAAGATTCTTGATATCCAGGAGAAAGTGTTTCGCAACAAGGTAATCCAACTGGTGAAAGTCCTGTGGCAACATCATGGCGTAGAGGAAGCAACTTGGGAACCGGAGTGGGAGATGCGAGAGAAATATCCATATTTGTTCGATACTTGAGGTAAGTTTCGAGGACGAAACTTTCTTTAAGGGGGGTGGATTGTAACACTCCGCATTTTATTTTATATATATGCATATAGATATATATTAAATAATTTTGTAAAAATGGGGATAGGTGTAGCGATGTGTGTTTGAATTTGGTAGATTAGAAATGGAAAAAGGGATGAAATAGTGAACTGTGCACTGGCTGCAACTTCAAGCCCAATTTAGACCTTGATGTATTCAATATCTCTTAAAACTCAAAACATGAAAGTTGTAGAGTTCTTTCTTAGCTTTTCATAGCATCTTGAATTATCTCAATCGGAGCTCGGATGAGAGAGTTATGCTATGGAAAAAGGGATGAAATAGTGAACAGTGCACGTGAACTGTGCACTGGCTGCAACTTCAAGCCCAATTTAGACCTTGATGTATTCAATATCTCTTAAAACTCAAAAAATGAAAGTTGTAGAGTTCTTTCTTAGCTTTCTATAGCATCTTGAATCATCTCAATCGGAGCTCGGATGAGAGAGTTATGCCCCGATAACGAAGTAATATCGAAGCAGCCCATGAACAGTAAAAGAAAAAACAATTCGGGATTTCTGTGTTTAAAAACACAGATTTCAGCCTTTACTCTCATTTCTCTTATTCTACTCTCAACCCATTTCTCTTAGGACTCTAGAGGAAGAGAGAAGGATAAAACACAAGATCAAGAGGAGATCTATACTTCAAAGAAGATCAAATCTTCATCTTCTTCACACTAAACCTAGGTTTTTAAGAACATTGAAGTAGGGTTTTCTTCCATCCTTGTCCATTGATGTTAGGGTTATTATACATGTAGAATTTGGCTCTTAATAGTATGTATTTGTTATGGGTTTCTTGTTCCTTGGTATGTTTACAAACATTCCCATGATTTGAACAAAATGATGGTTGGAAATCCATCAAACTCTAGTTTTTGGGGGAAATATGGATTTTTCTCTATATCTTCACATCATCTTGATTTCGAAAATTCTAGAACTTTGTGTTGGGTAGTAAAATGATTGTATTGATGATCTCATGCTTATTTCCTTTAAACTTGTCTCTTGTTATATGATTTGCGAAATGGGTATATTTTCTTAAATTGTTCTATTATGTATCTTGCTTGTGAAAATTTGGGGAAACATCATGGAATTTGCTTGTATATGAAGTTGAGTATATTGTTGGTATGTCACTCTTGTGTATGGTGTTGTGAGGGACTTGGATTACCTTCGAAAACTGCCGTAGAGCATTAGAGGTTAGTCTATCCCAATGGGGGTGAGATGGTTGTCTAATGCGCGTAGTGGATCACTGTGGTGACAGTGACCACTATTGTTCACGGATACCGGGGAAAATGGTTAGTATACTAGACACCTTGGAAGGATCTCGTCAAGGTCGTATGAGACGGTACATGCCCTTCCTAAATTGGTCTGTGATTGTTAGTGGAAATGGGTGAACGAGGTAGAATCGTCAGGTAGATTCATGAGAAGCGACAACCTACTTGAGTGGTACCAAATAGAAATTTTTGTTCATTGTACCAAATATTATTTTTCCAAGAGTTTCGGGTAGTATGGGATGCCGCGATACCTTGTGGAAATGGTGTATGGTGCAGTGGATTATGTTGAAAATTGTTTGTCAATTAAACGTGGTTTTATTCTCGTTCAAGTCCTTATTATTGTACAAACTTGAGATCTCCTTTAAAATGTCCTTACTTTACTTTAAAATTCATTTATATGTATGTGCGAAACGTGACCTACCTGTTTTACTTGATTTCAAAACCTTGAATGGGTTTGGAAGGATCCTCCTACAGAGCCTTGTGCTCACCCCCCCTACTTCCCCACCTTTCAGATTTTGCCTTTGACGAGGAGCTGGGAGTCGAGGGGCCGACATATTTGGAGACTCCGATAGAAGGGAGCGTGGATCTCGAGGTGGATGCTTAGAGCGACCCCCCTTTATTTTGTTATAGACTTGGATAATCTTTTGGGAGAATTGTATAGCCTAGTTTTTATTTTATAAATTCCGCTGTGTATTATAGTACTTTTGTGGGAATGTAAATGCCATAACTTGGCCTATTCTTTTGGGATAACATGTAAATTGGATGGATTAATTTTATGGTAGTTAAATGGACCCGGTGTGGTCATTACAGTAGAATTGCACAGGTTGTGTTTTGGGTAAAGCTCCCCGAACAGAGGAGACTCTGCCCAAATTTTCTTAAAATATGAATGGTGGATGAATGAAACTTTTGTCGTGATGGATTTACTTAATGCTCTCATGCGGTGAATGGTTTTTAGAATGTAATGTCATCCAAGGGGGTTTTTGGGGCGTTACATTTTCCCTCTAAAGAGTTTGTATTTTCACGAAAGCTCCCAAGCGTAAGTGTACGATATCGTGTAGTAACTTAAACAAAAAGTTCAAGTTCATCTCCTTAGAAAAAGAATTGGAATCCAAAGTGATGAAAAATAAAATGAAAAAGTTATTTGAAGTTGAGAATTTTGAGAGTTAACTACTAATGAAATTAAAATTCAACAAAAGAAAAAATTAGATAATCTTCAGAATTCATCCTACCTATGAATACGAGTCTTTAATTTGAATTTATAGCTCATCTGCTTTTGTATTCAAACTACTACAAAACGGATAATTTTCAACTAAAAATTTGGAAAGAACTAATGTAACAATTGAAAAAATGGTTTACAATGGAAGAATCAATACTCTAAAGGTTGCAGAAAATACTACAATTATTTGTAACAAGTCTAATTGCATACAAATAATCAGAAAGTATGCAAACCAATTAGGTTTTTGAAAATATAACATGTTCAATCAATCATATAAACGTTAAAAACCATAGTTTAAGACATACCCTATTTTATAGGTTTGTGATTCCTTCTTCAAATTATCCATAGGAAGACTACTCACTCATGATAACTGAAATAACACAAAGTTTTAAAGGAAACATAATTGAATACAGAAAAGTAAAGATTGAATTGAAATTAATTACTTGTCTTGAAAAACTGAAAGTAAATAACAAGGATTTAAAAGTAAAGACAATTTAATGTAAATATTGCTTGAACAAATAAAATAAAAGAAAATAACTAAACTGAAAACAAATTCTGCAGAATAAACCCTAAAACTCTCTAACAAGAAAAAGTAAAAGAACTACTAAACGTATACTCCAAGCCTCCCTTTGATTCCCCATAGGGTATCTATTTTTTTTGGTTGGAAGGGAAATCTTTAGAACTTTAACCTATATTCATTCCAAAATTATATCATTCTTTGATTAGTTGATAATCCCCAAAAAGATATGACGAGATTTGATTTTTAATTGAGCTTTCCATGAAAATCTGCCTCGACCTACCGGTAGCACATCCATTACCTACTAGTAAGACTCTATCTGATGAATTTTCTGAAACTTTTGTAACTTTTGCTATTGGTAGACATCTAATAAGACTTCTTTGATTAAAGTACTATAAGTTTTTACTACCAGTACAACATGTTTTAAATATCGGTATAACTTTTTATGATGAACAAGATGTAAACTTCTATAAGTTTGAATGTGATTAACTACCGGTAGAACCTTCATTCTTTTGCCTTCCTACTAGTAGAACTCCTATTTTCTTTCAAAATGCTTCTAAGGCTTCTCGACTTCAACTTTACCCAAGCAAACTCAATCACAACGTATCTCTTGTCATCTTATTAATGGTTAAACTCAATCTTTAGATCTAATTTACTTGCAATCACAAAGATCAAGGCTTATAAGCAAATTATACTAAGTAAAGTGAATTAGTACATTAGCAAATCTAAAGTTAATATGTTAAGCTATAAATTAATGCAATGTTGAAGTCTCGACAAAAATATAAATCTAAAATAAAAATTCCCTCTAGTTAAGAAGACACTAACTATGGAGCTTCTGAATAGAGTATAGCTTTGTTGGAAAGAGTGGAGAGCGTCAGAGAAAATGGAAAGATTTGTCGGATTCCTTTGAGTAAAGCTTCGCCAACGATGAGAGAGGCAAGAGCAACAACGATGGTTCAAAACCTTTCATTTTTTTTTTCCCCATGGCAAAGAAAGGATTTGTCTAGAGAACTTCATTTTTTTTTTTTTGATGCAAATAGACTTATATGGTAAGTTTAAGGGTGTGTGTTTTATTGATGTAAACAAGGTTTGAAGAGTGAATCTCCTTAAATGAGATTATTATGTCTCACGTGTTTCAATTTTTGGATTTTTTGAAAATAATTTTTTTGATATTCACATTTTTAGTCTTTGTTTTCAAAATATAGCAAAAAAAAAAAAGAAAAAAAGAAAAACGAAAACATTCTTCAGATGTGTTTTTATTTTTTAAAAAAATTAAAAAAAAAAAAAAAACAAAAACGCCTGTTATCCATGGCACACAAAAATTATATGTAGTTATTGTCACCGCCGGTTGTTACCCGTCTCACTTGGTCTTGAATCTTCGGGACGGTGAGCCATTTGCTTGATGGCACTTCGCCAGCGCTGTCGTACTTCCCTTGCGTGGCACTGGCATCGGAACTATTCATCTACTAACAAAAACAACATCAAAGACAACAAAAACAGAGTTCCCCTTCTCTGGAGTGGCTCTGAAGACGAAGACGCAGGTACCGTCCAACTTCTCTCCTGGGGCAGAGGCGCCTCCGGCCAACTTGGCGGTGGCATCGAGGAAATCCGAATCTACCCAGCAACTGTTGCCTCGCTTTCCCTCCCTCCCTCTTGTAGTCTTTCTTCCTCGATTCCCGGCCGGCTCTGTTCTCCTCATCTGCCATTTTCAAAACACGGCGACGCAGCAGAGTTGGAGGTGGGCATCTCTTGCGGCCTCTTCCATTCGGCATTGCTGGTCGGTGGCAAATTCTGGATTTGGGGCAAAGGTGATGGTGGCCGCCTCGGGCTTGGACATGAGAATCCGGTCTTTGTCCCTACTTTAAATCCTCATTTGGAATCCGTCCGAAGCATAGCTCTTGGTGGTCTTCATTCCATGGCTGTCAACTCTTCTGGCCAGGTTTTCACATGGTTAGTATGACCTCCAAAGATTAGTTCAGTTTAATTTTGCCACTATTTTAACTGGGCAAAACGCGGCAATTATCAGATTAAAAGGGCTGATGATCATAATGATCCAGTGTGTAATGTTCACAGAATTACACATTTACGCATTTTGCTGATTTGTACAGAGGGCAAATGACATTGCGCCAGTTTTTGTTAAACACACAACTAAACCCTCACCTCCCAAGTCACAGCCACACAGAAAATTGAAGTTAATGTAGAAAGCTGGCGAGCTGGTCCGATGATATCACCTAAGAATAATGCTAATTAGGGGGTTGATCATAAGCGGTCTTAGATTCTTATGCTGAAGAAGTGGGATAAGGCATAACTAGTGATGTTTAAGATCATCAGAAATTAGGTAGCATTCTAAGTAACGATAGGTGAAGGTTTAGGGATAGTGTTGGTGGCTGGTACATGGTTCTGAGGGTTCTGTGGATGATGTAGGACAGTAATATAAAATCAAAATAGGGGCTGTTTAGGATCTATGAACAGTATTTATGCTGTGAATAGTGACGTGAAGAGTAACTTTGACTAAGAATCACTCCTAGGTTCCTTAGCATCACACCTTGGTGATAGAATTGCATTCAAGAAACATATAATTGCTGAAATTTTAAAAATATATCTCTTTATCCTCTATTAAAATATCACCAACTATATAGAGAGTACTCAGTAATCCTAATCCCACAAAATTAGAATTTCAAAGTCCTTGGTACTCCAATAATTCTAGATCACTAAATTAGAAAATTAAAACAAATTAGAACTATAACTCTAAATTCTAGTATATCCAACACTAGAGTTTGACCAAAAATATGGCTCATTTCAAAAATTCTGGAAATTACACATAAATTACTAAGTACTAGCAAACAAACTTAAAGGTAATTAAAAATAAGACTCAAATAAAGCTATGCAAGGTTCCATGTAAGTTTGTCTTCATGGCAAGCCAAATTTCACAATTCTTCATGTCTTTGATTTTGTCTCTTCTTGAGCATCTTATGGATGGCATTAGTGGAGGCGTGATAATGGGGATAGATTGTTGAAATCCTTATTACATAATGACATGCTGCTCCACAGACTTTGACAAGTTTTGATTTTTGTAATTTGATGGTTAATTTCACATTCAAATGAAGTATTCAGGGGCTATGGTGGCTTTGGCGCTCTTGGGCATTCTGTTTACCATAGAGAACTCTTCCCGAGATTGGTGGAAGTCTCTTGGGATAAACAAATACATCACATTGCAACTAGTGGGGCGCATAGTGCTGCTATCACTGGATCAGGTTAGATGTCTGCTTATTACTCAACTGGGCATTAGTGAATGATGGTTATCTCTCAAGAATGCTAGCTTATCATAGTTTGCTTACTAGTGGGATCAGTGGATTTAAATGGTAAAGTTGGAGCTCAAAATTCTTCTTTATTTTGCTGGTTACAATTGATGTACAACTAGTTTTTTTATTTTGTTGCATTGCCCATTACAATTTCTTAAGCTGTAAATGTTGTTAGGAATACCTGACTGCCATTCAACAAAATGTGGCCAGGAGTACAAATAACCTATTTACAGTTAAATCTGTCAAAGATTATGCCCATTAAAGGAATGTGTAAATTCAACTTATTACTAACTTATTTTCGTGCGAATGTTAGTTTGCTATGACCACCACCAACATAAATGTTGTGTTGTGGTATCTGATCATTCTTGGATAATGCTGGACATGGTGTGTGTTTGTGTTTTTTTTTTTGTTTGGGGGGAGTGTTATCAAAAGTGACCTTAGGTGCTAGGCGAGGTTTGTTGATGTAGAACGGGAAGGATTAGAAATTACAGAATAGAAAGAGAAGAAGAAAGAAGAAGGGGTGAAAGGGGTTTACCTCATTCTCGCAAGGAATCGGTGAAGAAACATACAAATCTCCGCAGAGAATACTCAATTCTTATTCATAATCTCTCTAATAAAAATAATTGAGATTACACATTTATTTATAGGCCAAGTTCCCTACTAAAATAAAAACTACTTTTCTACTAAAATACTAAAAGAGTTTCATAATCAAACTCTCAAATCCTTATCCTACTAAAACTCTATAATAATTTTCTAGTCAAACTATAATTAATACTTCTAGTCAAACAAATATTCATTAACTAATAAAATAATACTAAAACAAATAATAAAATTCAATTCTTCAATTTAAGCTCATCCAATCCCTTTTCGATCTCTATCAATTCTCCTGGGCTGAAAAAAATTGTTCTCCGAAGAGTTGTTGTAGTAAGAATACTCCAAGAGAATTGACATTAGATGGTGAAACACATTTTCAAATCTGATAGCATAGAAATAAGATTTCCCTTCAGTGACATAATATAGGATATTACAATGGGAGGAATCTATATTTCGAATCTTCATAACATTCACACTTTGTTCCAGATAAAAGGATAGTGAGGATGTTGACGAAAAAGTAGCAACCCCATCTAAAAAAATCACGTTTGAAACTTGCTTAACTTCATCCGGAAGAACACCCTTTGCAATTGGCTTATCAAAAGCACTTGTTGTAGGACGAGTATAAGTAGAACTTTTGGTCTCATCAACATTGAATAACTTCAGCATATTGGGATTCAATCGGATTGGAACTTGTGGTGGTGAAACTTGTGGTATAACTGGAGGGCTGTGTTCAACCACTTTTTGATTGACAGTTGAAGAGACTAAGTTAAAATTTTCACTTGTTTTGGTTTCACAAACTGTAGCGAGCACAAGTTCTCTCGGTAAATCAATAAATGCTTGAATTGTATCTAGTCTAGCATTTATAACCTTTTGTGAATCAACTTGTGCTTGGGATAAAGCCTCCACTTTAGCATTTAATTTGGCGTTGGAAACCATTATAATCAAGAGAAAATTCTGAAATTTTTTGAGGATGATTCTGTAATTTTTTTGGATATGTTGGGGATGTTTCTGCAATTTTAAAACTTATGGGGGAAGATTCTGTAATTTTTGAAACTTCTGGTGGTGGTTCTACAACTTCTGAAACTTTCTCTAGTATTTTTGTAATTTCTGAAACAGCTGGGATGTTGCTGCAATTTTCTGAATCTGTTGGGAGAGTTTTTTTTTTTTTTGTTGCATAGACCTTTGGTTTCTGTTTTTTTTTTTGGTTGTACGAATCAAAATTAGGCTCTGATACCAAACTAATGTAGAACGGAAATGATTAGAAATCACAGAATAGAAAGAGAAGAAGAAAGAAGAAGGGGTAAAAGGGGTTTACCTCATCCTCGCAAGGAATAGGTGAAGAAACACACAAATCTCCGCAGAGAATTCTCAATTCTTATTCATAATCTCTCTAATAAAAATAATTGGGATTACACATTTATTTATAGGCCAAGTCCCCTACTAAAATAAAAACTATTTTTTTACTAAAATACTAAAAGAGTTTCATAATCAAATTCTCAAATCCTTATCCTACTAAAACTCTATAATAATTTCCTAGTCAAACTCTAATTAATACGTCCAGTCAAACAAATATTCATTAACTAATAAAATAATACTAAAATAAATGATAAAATTCAATTCTTCAATTTAAGCTCATCCAATCCCTTTTCGATCTCTATTATTTGCACTCCTGGAGTGGCCTTAAGCAAGGTGATTTATGTGAGATAAAGCTGAGGCAAAAAAAGCGAGCGCTCACACTTAAGTGAAAGGAGACCAAGGCGAGTGCTTCACTCTAAATTGATGTGTAAAATAAACACCCACAGAGATATAAATTGATGTTGGACAATTTGTAGGATGCTGTATTGACTATATATCAACAAAAAAGAAGATTTCACGTGTCAGGAAGCCATAAAATGTCTTTGCATGCAAGGCAACTCAAAATAGCAAAAACTACAGAGCGACAATATGAAGAGCAGCAAAGGTGTGAGAATTGAGCAGCAAATATTCTTGTTGTAATGGATGGGAAATCGAATGGTGAAGCAATTCACACTACAAAGAGAAGTCGGCAAGAGTGCTTCTCATTAGTGGTGAAACTTGCTGTGCATGCTGGTTATGGGTACTGTTAAAAAAGCTTCGGAAAAAATAATAGAGGGCATTTTATGGTACTTTTGGGGTGATGCATATTTTGCATTGGTTGAATTGGTCGAAAATCAGAGATGAGGTGTAATAGAGTCAATAAATTAGAGAATGATGGTGGTAGGCTTGGATTGAATAATCCTGAAGGCATATATGTAGTGGGTGGAATGCTTTTGCTGAATCTATGGTTGAGTTGATTAATGGTAGCAGGACCAGGGGAAGGTGATAGGGAAAACAGAGGGATGAAAGTTACACATAGGCACGTGATGATACAGGGAGGGAAGCTAGAGATTTGGACATCACTGGCGAATGATATAGAATTGTGCGATTTGTGTGTATTCGAAGATGTTTATTTGATCCATGGATAGATATTCAAGTGGCATTGGCCAAAATGCTGAAATTTAACAGAGAGTTGATTCCACTCTAGGTTGATAAAGTTGTGCTTTTCTATGAGTTTGCTAAACTTTGTAAACATGAAAATGCTTACTGGAAGGTCCTTTCACTGTGAGACTGCGGACAAGGAAATATATATTTTTTGTATTAAAGATAATTGCGAAATGAAATGGAAGTGGAGTGATGATCCCTCATGGCAATAATGTGCTTCCATTGATAATGGTAAGGGTTTTTTTTGGACCAAACATAAAAGATGATATTGACTGCATATGTCACAAAGAAGTTTGTTTGGTTTTCCTTTTTGCTAAAAAAAGATGAAATAAATGAAGGAAAATATTTATAATTGTGATTAGATGGATTTCTTTAAAAATTATCAAAATGCGGGTGTGTAAGAGAGCTACTTGTTTCTTTGGAGTTTGAGTGGTCTTGGAGAAGAAGATTAATCATTTTCTTTGCTCTTCATTTTGTTATTAATGGAAACTTGAGAAAGATTTCTCAGCAGTGAACTTACTAAATGAGGAGGGTCGAATTATGATGTAATTATGGTTTATGAGAAGAAGAAGAGGAGAAAAGAAATTAGGGAATAGAGTAGTGTGTTAGGGTTATGCAGCAACATCCTAATATATATATGAAGAGGCATAAATCTTCTGGAGTGAGGGGAGCCATTTGAGAGATGAAAAACAGACAAAGAGAACATCTTCTGAAGTGAAGCAAATGTAGGAATATGCTACTTTGCACTCCCTTTTTAAAGGAGAGGGACAAGCGCCAAAAGGGAATGCTTGGAAACCAAAAGACAATCATTTAATGCGAAGAGACAAGACAAGTACGATGCACGTCTAGAGGATCCATGTAATGATGAGTATGAGAACATGAAACGATTGTCACACGAAAAACAGCTGTCATACGCTTCCTCTAGGGGCAAGTGTAGAGGCATAAATCTGTCACGTGTATACTTGCGTGTTCTTGAAAGAACAGGTCACGTGGGCAAGGATCAAAATATCGTTTCGAAACGGTCGAAACGTCCGAAACGTTTCCGTTTTTAAGGAGACCTAAACGAAACAGTGATGGAATCAAAATTTTGATATTTTAAAGTATTCCATAATGATGTATTATAATATTTCAATGCATTTGCATAATTGTTTTAGAATGTTTCAAGGTATTTCACGATACTTTGATATATTTCCATCAATGTTTTAAAAAAATAATTCTTAAATTATTTATTTTTTTCATTATGTTTTCGAAACGGGTCGAACCGTTTCCGTTTCTTAGGTGACTGAAACAATACACCGAAATGATATTTTGATCCTTGCACGTGGGTCACCAACTGGAACGATTAGGGATGAATTGAACTGAACTATGATAGCTCGGTTCACAGTACCAAGCATGGTTTCACAGAGCTCAACTTGAAACATGATCTTAATCGAACAAGGAGGAAAACGCCTACAATTAAGGCAGGGGTGGCTAGCTATGTTTTGAGGCCTAAAACGATAAATTCAACTGAAATATTTTTAATTTTTTTTTTATAATAATGTAAATTTTTTAATATTTAATTTTTTTTCTGGATGCATATTAATTGTTTAGTATTTGTATTGAAATTTTTTTAACATATCTTTTTTTATTGATAATATAACTAATTGACTTAATTTTTAAATTAAATAAAAAATTCCAATTGACAGTGGACCCTACTATTAGTTGAGACCCACTATCAATTCCACCGTTATGATCCATCATCTCACCAGATAAGATTACTAAATTCGGTACAAAAAATATATATATATTTTTTTACTTATAAAATGTTATTGTGTGAGATTAATGGATTAAATTTTTGAACCCAAAATTAATCTAGAGTTTTTTTGTTGGTTTAGGCCTTCATATGAGGCTTTCTTAATGGGTTAAAATTGACTTTGACTATATTTGTAGACTTTTTAAATTTTGGGGCCCTTTTTATTGGTGGGGCCTAAAGCCACTGCTTCATTTCCTCTTATGTTGGGCTAGCCTTGAATTAAGGGAATTTAGGTGCAACGACTAAGCATAGTCAACGGCTCAGAAGAGCAGTAATTAAGGGAGCGTCTGGAGAGATTTCAGCAATCCCTACAAATATTCCCGAGTGAGGGGAGATGTGCCATCTCGCCTCACCAATAAGGAAAACCCTAGAAACAAGGCACGGTCTATATAAAACACAAAGGATGCACTGTTAGAGAGAGGTAGAATCTTCTCTGCATGCATTCTTTTTGTACACTTACTGACTTAAGTATCGGAGTATCTTCAATTGAAGCACTTCGATCCTAGACAATTTGTTTGTTTTGTAGGAAGGACTCAGAGAGAGGAATATAATTTTCATCATCAAGCGTAGGAGGTATTTTAATCTTACCACTTACATATATATATATATGTATATATATATATATATATATATATTTATATCACTCTTAAGAGTTACACATCCTAATATAACATAACTTAATGCTTCCCTTTAGGTTGGTGTATAAATGTCTCTCGTGCCCAACTTATAAATAATAGGATGAAAAAGCTTGCTAATGAGCCCCTTTGTGAAAATATTAGTTAAATGATTTTCTGATTTTACAAAGGACGTGCAAATCAAACATTTGTTCAGCTTCTCTTTAATAAAGTGTCAACCAATCTCAACATCTTTAGTTCTATCATGTTGAACTGGATTGTATGCAATGTTGATAGTTGTCTTATTATCATAGTACAGTTTCATAGGCCCATCACTACGAATTTTGAGCTACATAAGTTCACAAATTCCATGGGCCATTGCTCTGTATTTAGCCTCAACACTAGACCTGGCTACCACTGCTTGCTTTTTACTTGGCCATGTGATAATATTTCCTCCTATTAGGGTGCAGTAGCCTAAAGTGGATCTTCTTTCATCTACTGAACCTGTTCAGACTGCATTAGTGATAGCTTTTAGTTCTAAGTGACCATTATTAGAGAACAAGATCCATTTTCATGAGGTTGACTTAAGATACCTCAATATAATGAACAACTTCAAAATGAGGAACTCGGGAATCATGCATAAATTGACTTACCACCCCTTTCGCCTAGGTATGATAGATATATATCAATCTTTTCACTAATCTCTGGTATCTCTTAAAATCACTAACACTATTCACCAGTCGATGGTTGACTTCAATAGGAGAATCTGTAGGTCTACATCCCAACATAACAATTTCTTCAAGTAGTGCAAGAACATCTTTTCTCTAGGAGATAGAAATGCCCTTGTCTGATCTGGAAACGTCAATCCCAAGAAAATATCTCAATGGACTCAAGCCTTTGATTTTGAACTCCTTCACCAATTGAGCTTTCAGTTTGGTGATTTCAAGCACATCATTTCTAGTTATCACTATGTCATCTGCATATACAATGAGGACTACTATTTTGTCATTTATCTATCTGATGAACATATTATGATTAGCATGACTCTTATTATATCCAAATTTCAATATGGTTTTGAGAAATCTATCAAACCTGGTTCTGGGTGATTGCTTCAACCCATAGAGTGACTTCTTCAACTTTCACACCTTTTCTTTAGTTGCTTGAGATGAAAAATTAGGTAGAATTTCCATATATGCCTCTTCCACCAAGTCTTGATGGAGAAAGGTATTCTTCACATCCAACTGTTGCAGATTCCATTCCAAATTAACTACACAGGAGTGAAGGGCACATATGGAGCTCATCTTTGCCGGTGGTGCAAAATTCTCCTAATAATCAATGTCATATGTCTAAGTGAATCCCTTAGCAACTATTTTTGCCTTGTATCTCTTAACTGTCCCATTGGCTTGTTGTTTGACAATGAACACCCATTTCAATCCAACTGCTCTTGCTCTAATAGGAAGTGTAACTAATTCTCATGGGTCATTTTTTTTAGGGCTCTCATTTCCTCTACTATAGCTTCTCGCTCCTTTGGACCAGTGAGGGCATCCTTCCAACCCTAAGGAATAGATATAGAAGACAAGTAAGAAACAAATGTACAATAGGATGGAGACAAGGAATTGTAAGAGACAAAGTTAGAGATTGAGTGTTGAGTACAAGTTGAAACACCCTTTTTTATTGCAAAAGGAAGCTCATAATCATTAACAATTGGATTATCAATAATGCGAGTGACAACTTGAAGCTCATTACTAGGTAAATCAGTAGATGCTAGAATTGGAGTGGAGGAGTTCAAAACAATCCCCATGGTAGAACTCCAACACAATCCCCATCATTGTCCTCCGGTTGAGAAAAACTCTTTCCCGAAGAGTTATTAAAGCCAAAGTACTCCAAGAGCGCATAATCAACATGGTAGAACTCCTAATTAATCCAAGAAGCAACATGAGAGCAATTCAACCATCGAATTACATGACGCTCACAATCTCCATTTGAAGAACTGATTACTATTTGGTCTAGCATTTGTGGTGAAAGTCCCGTAAGAGAAGGAAAATTTAACCATCAAATTACATGACGCTCATAATCTCCATCCAAAGAACTAATTACTATTTGGTCTAGCATCCGTGGTGAAAGTCTCACAAGAGAAGGAACTAAAGGTGGTATTGGCAAATAAGTAGCTTCATGTGTAGGACCACCTGCTAACAAAATAGGAGGCTCCGAAGTGCCTCGATAAAATATCATGGCCTCCAAATAAAAACTCGGACTAATACGAATATCTAATGGAAAATTAAGTGAATAAGTAGTAAGTCCAAATTCAAAAATAGCAAAACAATTCTCATTAGGTTTCAACTAGTGTTATCAGAACCGGATCAAAAATCGAATCGACAAAGTGACCGGGTCAATGGTTCAACCATTGGGTCAACTGGTCGGATCGGTTGTATAATAAAAAAAATTATACAACATAATAATTTAGTTAAAAATTCACAATCATAATAAAAATTACTGTGTAGTGTGTAGTGTATAGCGTACTGAATTTTTTGATTGTTGAGTGTGTGTATAGGTTGACCAAGTGTGTGTGCACTTTGGGGGAGAGAGAGAGAGGGAGAGTGGAACCCAATTGGCTGTGTTGGGTTGCAGATTAAGAAAAAAAATTAAAAGAGAAGACTGAAGAGGCAGAAGTCGTAGAACTCAGATGGGGTCTAGCCATCTATGGCAAGCCGTGAGCAAGAGAGGGGAAAAGGAGAAGAAGAGGAGTTCGAGATCTGTGGTGTGGCCACTGTTCGAGTTAGATCTGGAAACATTATAGGCGAAGAAGACGAAGACGAAGACGAAGGGGTTGAAATCTTTTTGAACCAGCTTGAGAAGATGAAGACGAAGACAAAATGGGTTGGTATTGTTTTGAACCGACTGGTTTTAGGAATCTTCAGTTCACCGGTTTTGGAAAAATTGACCGATTTTTCAGTTTTTCACCGGTTCGATTTCTTAGGCGATCTAACTAAAGAACCGAACTGTTTTAGATCCCGGTTCACGGTTCAATCGGTCCAACCTGCCAGTTCGGTCCGGTTCACACTAGTTTCAACATGAAATAATCGTAAGGATGAGAAATTGATGGCAAAGGGGTAACAATAATGTTATGATGAAAATAATCAAGTAAGGACTCAAATGAACTTTTTAGATCAGGCAACTAAACGGTTAAAGAAACTAAGTCAAGGGATTGGGATTGCAATATCTTGAAAGGATTCTCATTCGTGGTTTGAGTGACAAGACAAGACTCTAATTCTAAAATTTTATTGTTAACTAGTTCAATATCTTGCATGGAAGTCAACTCAAGGTATTTTTTCTCTAGCTCCAAAATAGTGATTATCAAAGGTTCCGATGTAGTCGAAGAAATGATAGGATCAAAAATAATTTCATCTCTAGAATCAATGTTCAAATGATTGAAAGTAGATTGTGAAGGACGGAAAGCATGATGGTCCAATGGGACCAAAATATGGCTATCGTTGTGCGAGTGTATGACATTAGGTGAAAATGATGACTAAATTAGTAGGTTCCATAGTAGGTTCACATGCAAAACTCTCTAGCATGTTCTCTGTATAAAAATTCGGACTAATACTAACATTCAATGGGAAATTAAGTAAAGAAGCAATAGATCCAAACTCAAGAATAGCAAAACAATTCCCATTAGATGTCAACAATAAACATTCAGTGGGACAATGAGGAAGAAATATCAACATCTATATCGAGAGGTTGAGATTGCAAGAGGAATCGATTTGCAAGTTTTTCCATTGTGATGGAGTTGGGTGGTGTTGATTGGTTAGGTGGATTGATCAAGGAAGTTGTTCAAGGGAGGTTGTTTGATCCTTCCTTTAGGAAATGCAGAGGCAATTCCTCTCTTAGTCCAAGTAAGCATTTGATGTTATTCAGTGAGCTCACTTATCTGATGCCTTGAGACTCCCCTAGACTTGGTGTCCGTTACTTGTCGTCAGGTGGGACTTTCTTCCCTGATCCTACACTATATCGTACTATTATTGATAGTCTGATATATCTCACAGATACTTATTCAGATATATCTTATGCTGCTCATGTTGTTAGTCAATTTGTTGCTGCACCTACCATTATTCGCATTCTTCGGTATCTTCGAGGTACTCTGCATTAAAGTTTCTTATTTTTTTCCTCCTCGTCAATAGCGCTTATTTTGATGCTAATTGGATTAGTGACTCTATGGATCACAAGACCACCATTGGTTTCTTTCTTTTCTTTGGAGATTCTCTTATCTCCTAGAAAAATAAGAAGCAAATTATTGTTGCTTGTTCATTTAATGAAGCTCTGAGTATTGTGCTATGGCATCCACTATATTTGAGATCTATGAAGCACGGACACTCTCGAGAACGTGACGTATCCGTGTCAGACAGCGACACTCTTCGGACACGTGTCCAATACTCTTTTATGCGTGTCCATAATTAAATGATAAATTTTTAATTTTGGACACGTGTCGGACATTTCTTTGGTGATGTGTCTGACACTTCTTTAGAACGTGTCTATTACTAAACAATAGACATTTGTTGAAATGTGATTAACAAAACTTAAAAATTTGAGAACATATAATTATTAATACTAGACATATTAAAGTCGTACTCCAAATATAATAATAAAAATTAAAAATGTATAAAAATTAAAAAAAAAAAAGAATTGAGAAAATGTGAGCAATTATTTAAATTATATATTAGATACACATTGTCTACAAAAAAATTTGATGATTATTGACTATAATGAGGATGTTTTAGTCTAAAATTCATACAAATGACTAGACATTAGGTTTTCTTATCATAAAATATTGATTTTTTTATGAATTGTATAACATTATCACTATATTTGTAATAAATTATATAATATTATATATAAAATATAATTTTTTTGTAGCGTATCCCTAACGTGTCCGTGTCCTACTTTTTTAAGAAATGTCGTGTCGGCATGTCCGTGTCGTGTCGTATCTGTGTCCCGTGTCCGTGTTCGTGTCCATGCTTCTTAGGTTGAGATAGTATGGTTATGTTGGCTACTTGCTGATCTTGGCATCTTTGTATTTGGTCCCATTGCTATGTAGTGCTATTTAGGTTGTCCACAACTTAGTGTTTTATGAGCATATAAAACATATTGAGATTGATTGTCACTTTGTGCACCGTCAGCTGTAGCTGGGTATTATCTCTCTTCCTTTCCTACCTTCTACTATGAAGTTAGCAGATTTCTTTACGAAATTTCACAAAATAGAGCGTTTTTGTTTTTTGCTTGGCAAATTCTTGATGTTCGCTGCTATTACATCCATAGTTTGAAAGGGGGTGTTAGAGTATATTTTGATATTAATATTGAGGGTAGTTTAGTCATTTAGCTTATTTGTGTTGTCTTGCTATATATATATAGGGTCTTTATTGTGTATTCTTTTTAATTAAGTTATAACACAGACTAATGGTGCTGCAATGATATTCTTTCTCATTCTTTATTTCTATTCTCTTCTCTCTTTTTTGGGATCAAAATTAACACTCCCCACCCAATATAAATGAGTTAAACTTTGTTTTGTTAGATAGAGTAACAACCTTCCATTATTCCCAAGTTAGATTGTATGCTAAATTTCTTGCAAAGCCCCTTTTTTCAAGATAAGGAAACTGGTTATAATTTTTCATACAATACTCACAACCATGGTGGAGTGGCATTTTAAGGAGATTTGAACCGCCAACCAAGGGTCGGTTTTTCATGGTCCCTATGACACTGGGCCATTCCACATCCCATACCTCATTAGGTGCAGGTTCTTGCTTGCCATGATTTAGAGGGTAACTGAACTTTGGAGTTTCTTGTAACTGATGGCATTAACCCTTTGAAAAGGAAGAGTTGTGATAAAGCCCCTTTGGATGTAACTGATGGAATTAACCCTTTGAAAATGAGTCATGATAAAGCCACTTTGGAGGCATGAACAGTGGACACAACACTAATTGCATCCTTGGTTGCTTTGTTGTATATGCATCCCCTGCATCCTCGGTTATTCTTTGTTTTTGTTGTATATTTGTTTTAGTAGGCTTTTTATGGAAATTTTTGAGTACTCCCTTCATTTTTTAAAATTGTTTTTGATTTGGTTTTTTGTTCCTTTGAGATAGGTGAACTTTATACTTGGGGCCGAGACGAAGGGGATGGTAGATTGGGTCTTGGTCCTAGTCGGGGGCCTAATGAGGTTGGGGGACTTGGTGTCCCTTCAAAAGTAAAAGCATTACCTGTGCCTGTGGCTGCTGTTTCTTGTGGCGGGTTTTTCACAATGGCATTGACAAAGGAGGGGCAACTTTGGAGCTGGGGAGGTAAGATTATTATGTCTTCTGGTACAAGTACTTTATTGCTCTTTCTTGCTCCCTGAACAATTCATATAATATTATGGGAAAGGACAATATAGGCAAGGAATGACATGTCGTGTCGAAACGCCCGAAACACTTGAAACGATTCGGTATTTCTACACACCGGCACAAAACAGGGCAAGAAAAATAAAAATCTAGGGTTTCGTTCGAAACAAACTTGTTTTGGTTTGTTTCGGTTGAAACACGCACATTGATTTGACTTCTATTAGTTTGATTAGAAAAGATGCCCCTTTTCGTCCTTCTCTTCAACAAAAAGGGAAACAACCAAAAAAATAAAAGAGAGAGAAAGAGAGACAGAGAGAGGAACCCATTGAAATCGAAGAGCTTCAGGTAGAGAGGTAGCTTACCAATTAGCAAGTGCAAAATCCAGACCTCTGAGAATAGATCCAGCCTCCAAGCTCGAGGTAAATCTGTTGGTTTTTTTTTTCTTCTTGCTTTTTTTTTTTCTTGTATCCTTTTTCTTTGCTTTGTCTTATGTTTTCTTCGTGGATGTTGTGCGCTAATTCAGTGAGAACACACATCTCTCTCTAGATCTCTTGATTGGGATTTGCAGATCTGGATGGTGGGTGCTGCTCATCTTTGTAGCCCTAGTTCTTTTCTCTCTCTCTCTCTCGCTTGTGCATCTGTTTGTCTTTGAGACAGTTAGACTTTTTTTTATTGGTTTGAGATGACATCTATTTAACACCTCCCCTATCCGAAAATAAAATCCCCATTTCATTTTTCTATTTTCCATTTGTATATTTTTTGGGTACTAGGTAGGCATATTATGTGGGTAGCTTTTAGTTGTTTTTGATCCCATCCATTATGTGCTAAATTTTATTTTACTCGTGTATGATATAAATATAACATTAATTATTAATGCAATGTGTTTTTTATGTTATAAATATAAAGTTTATATTATGATATCTTACTACCTGTGTTTTTTTGATAAAAATGCACTTTTTTTCATTAGTTGTCATGACTTTTGACTCAGTTAACCTTTAAATTTTATTTTTTAAATTGATGTCTTAGAGTATTAATGGATGTTAGGACAATAAACTTGCTAAATTGCTCAATTATTGGACATATCTGTATGAGTAAAATAATTTTAATCTATGTTTCCTTCAGTTTCCCCACGTTTTCAATTTTTTTCTCCGTTTTCATTGTGAATTGACCGAAACTATACATCAGAATGATATTTCGATCATTGAATATAGGATAACCTTGCTTTAATATATTGCAACAATTATAGAGTTCATGATGTAGATTAGAAAGAAGAAGAATTAGGGGTAAAAATAGAAAAAGAATGGAGATGAGAAGGGAAGAAGGGGATGAGAAATCAGAAGAGAAGAATGGGATGAGAAACAGAAATTTAGGAGAAACAATTCTCGATATTAATCAATAATCTAAGACTACCTAAAAATAATAGCATTAGTCCTTTTCAAAAACTCTTAACATTAAAGGTTCCTAATCAAACTCTATTACTAAAAGATGAAAGCAGAATAATATCTATCTAAATCTAAATAAATAAAAATATCAAAAAATTATCATCATTTATCCTATTCCAACCCGATCCTCATCATTCTTCCACGATTGAGAAAAACTCTATTTTAAGGAGTCATCAAAACTAAAGTATTCCAAGAGTACATAATCAAGAATGCATAACATCTCCTCTATACTGAAAGAAGCATCTATAACTGTCCATCTAGTAGGATATTAGTGACAATCTCCATCTGAAACATTAAAAATCTTGTCCTTGGCACATCATCTATGTGGCTTGAAATATGCGACGGAAGTGGAGAGATAAGAACGAGAGATAGTGCAAAAGAAGAAGCAATTCCACGAATAACAACACCTGGTAATAAAATAGGAGACTCTAGAGTGCCTTAATTAAGTAGCATGTCCTCCGAATAAAACCTAGGACTAATACCAACATAAATAAAAAATTAAACAAATATGCATAAAGTACAAACTGAAGAATAGAAAAACAATGCCCAGTAGATTTTGTCAAGAAGTATATGGTGGGGCAAGAAATCAACGACAAAGGAGTAACAATAATACATTGATGATGAAAATAATCAAGTTACTCAAATGAACACTTGATAGTAGGCAAAGGAACAAAGTCAACAATCTCAGGTGTGGAAGAATTAGAATCAATATCAAGATGACTCAAAAAGGTAGACATAACACAATCAACAATAGATTCTGAAATTGGTAACTCGTTATGCTCAACAACTTGTACGAGTGCAGACTCGACTGGCTTTTTAGCAAGTTTCATGACAAGTGATGATGCAAAATTTGACTACAGCAAAGACTCAAACTCACTTTCTTTACGGATTGACTCTTGTGAGTTCAAGAGAGAAATGTCTCGACTGAATTACACTAAAAAAAAGGGTAATTCAAATAATAAATATGTTTCTCTTCATGAGAGGTTCATGATCACATTAGGATTAGAAAAACATACAGAAACATGCACATTATTCAAGTAATCATGATACTCATATGTGGTGGAATTAAAATTAGAAGGTGTTTTGTCCAGTTGGCTTGAAGTGTGTGACTGAGAATCCCTCAGACTACAAGTGAATTTCTAGTGAAATCTTTCAACTTTTAAAGCATATCGATAGGCCTCATCTAATGTGTCAAAAGAATATAGTTTTACCTTCTATTGATTTTTGGTCTCAACCCAATAATAAATTGATCAATATTACACGATTCCTCATCAATGTCACACAAGTACCTTGATTCTTGAAATAGCTCATTCTTCTTAATGCATTTGTCTCTCACTAATCCAGAGGAACTCAACAATCTTTGAATTCTAATAATTTTGCTTCCCAACTATACACTCTTAGATAAATCAATATTTTAAGATCAACTCTTAAATTGCACACCCGTGTACAAATTTTTACTATACTCTGGTTCATCTTTTCTCATGTTACATCTTACCATTCCGTTTATTTAGGGTACTATGACACTCTTGTACTATTCAATCCTATAAACAATCACTAGTTTCAGTGGTTCAGCGGACACCACAAGGTTCTTAACAGTTATAACCATCAAACTCTGCACCTAGTTATCTAAAAGATTGATTCTCACTTTTCAAGCTTATAGTCTTTACATTCACCATTGTAACCATAACTAATGGTTAATCCCAATAACATTAAATCAAATCAAATGGCTCACTGCGCACTTTGATATAAATTTTAATCCACAAATCCATAAGTCTGACTAGCTATGAGATAAGAACTCCTAAAGATTTGACCAATGTTCTTAAATTTAATCACATTAGTCTACATAGCCTTAAAAATTATTTATAAGATTTGAGACGATAACGATCTGATAGTTACTATGCTTACCTTAGCCTTTTATACTCAAAATTCGCTTAACAGTTTCTCCACTCATGTGAACCAATCTGTATAATTATCGATATTGATTCCTTAGATTATATCCTTTAAGCATCACAATTAAACGTACATTTTTTTTTTTTTAGGATTTACAATCTTCAATTCTTGTCATACCAACGGTCCTCAACTCCGACCTAGTTAGAACTATCTTAATGATGGATTAAAAGAGTAAAGGAAAAAAATTTTCCTATTCCTACCATGCAACTCCAATAACCTTAAAAGATCCCACACAATGATAAAAGTTAACACCGAATATTGAAATCATCCTTATTTCAATAATTATCTGCTATACTGACCTTGAGTTTTTTTCCCTTTTTTTTACATGTCTATAAGTTCATTTCCATAAATTGACCTCAATTTTCAATCAAAATTTGTAAATATAAGTCAACTATTGACTCTACATTCAACCAAGAGATTTTCGATTGTTAATACTTTAAAGACTCTTAAGTGTAAGGAACTGAGCCCACAAAGAAATAAGATTACCCAAGTATAACGTCCTCAATGAGTATCTTACGTATGACTCTCTAAACTAGTAATATTTCTAAAATAAATTTAATCAACTCTCCGTAATATTTTCAAATCAATATTGGTAATCTCAAGTTTGTGGTTATGAAAACACCTTCCGGTCCATTGAAGAACCATAACCACAATTCATGTCGTTATTCCAAAATAGGCTCTTATTCGAGGTTACTTCACCATATTCCTTCAATTAATCATATTTGAGAATTATACTATTTTATACCATCGCACTTACTTTAGAGAAAAACATAACACTCTCATGGTTCCCATAGTAAAACCAAAACTACATTCATTCCTTAATTTCTATGACTTTTGAGTAACACATGACTTTCTATAACCTTATTATTTAAAGCTTAGTCTATCTTAAAAACATCTAAGTTGAACTTATCTCCACACATTCAAATATAGTTATCACATCTCCTTCACTTTCAAAAATATAAGTAATACTAATACTAGAATAGAATACTTAGAGTCAACAAAACACCAAATCATGATCACATTCTATCTTGTTATCCATCAAAACACTTCAATCAACATGGGGGTGTTTCTAAATCAAAGTCTAAATAATGTGGAAGCTTGCTTAAAGATAAGTTCTTCAGAGTTTAAGAAAAAAATCACGATATTTTGCTATCCAAGGAATAGCACAGTGTAAATCTTTTATCTACTTGGAGAATAAACTAATTTAATTAAGGTATTTCTAGCATGTGTGATCTATATGATTGGAAAGATATATGAGTTAAGCTTTTAATAAAAGAAATGATGCACAATTTGGACTTTTCAACAAAGAGTTATAGTCCAATTGGTGAAAGGTAGTCTAATTGGCTGATGGTTTTGCTACAATTGTCCAATTCGAGTTTGAGATATGCCACCAATCATATCTCATACCCATCTCTAATATAGGTAATATTACTCACATAAAGATGCATGCCTAATATTTTTACTAACCAAAACCCAAAATACCATCCTTCTCCTAGAATAATCCATAACGACATGATATTAAACTACCATATCTATCCTAAAATTTTGTCAATTCCTGTAAGCTAGTTAATTCATGAATTCGAACAAATAAATAATTCTTAAACTAAATAAGCAACAACTCACAC